TAATAAATTTACCCTGCAGGGGATGAAATGGCACACTCACAGAATGTCCGGTGCTCTAAAATATTTTACATATTTATTTCAGGTACTTATATAGCACCATCAATTTATGCAGCGCTTTACATATACAGTCAGGTCCATAAATATTGGGACATTGACACAATTCTAACATTTTTGGCTCTATACACCACCACAATGGATTTGAAATGAAACAAACAAGATGTGCTTTAACTGCAGACTGTCAGCTTTAATTTGAGGGTATTTACATCCAAATCAGGTGAACGGTGTAGGAATTACAACAGTTTGCATATGTGCCCCCTACTTGTTAAGGGACCAAAAGTAATGGGACAGAATAATAATCATAAATCAAACTTTCACTTTTTAATACTTGGTTGCAAATCCTTTGCAGTCAATTACAGCCTGAAGTCTGGAACGCATAGACATCACCAGACGCTGGGTTTCATCCCTGGTGATGCTCTGCCAGGCCTCTACTGCAACTGTCTTCAGTTCCTGCTTGTTCTTGGGGCATTTTCCCTTCAGCTTTGTCTTCAGCAAGTGAAATGCATGCTCAATCGGATTCAGGTCAGGTGATTGACTTGGCCATTGCATAACATTCCACTTCTTTCCCTTAAAAAACTCTTTGGTTGCTTTTGCAGTATGCTTTGGGTCATTGTCCATCTGCACTGTGAAGCGGCGTCCAATGAGTTCAATGGGCCAATTTAGACAGGATCCAATTAACCTACCAGCATGTCTTTGGAGTGTGGGAGGAAACCGGAGTACCCGGAGGAAACCCACGCAGGCACAGGGAGAACATGCAAACTCCAAGCAGAAGGTGCTGTGACTGGGATTTTAACCAACGACCCTAGTGCTGCCAGGCGTAACTGCTAACCATTTAGCCACTGTGCTGCCCCTTTCCAACTTGTTTTCAATAGTCGCTGAATGGTTTTATGTAGTGTAAGGTAGCAGTTATAGAAATGTAATATTTAGGGGGTTGGGGCACAGCTTACTTTTTTCATGGAAGGCATGTTTAGTGATATTATATCCAGCAACTTAGCTTTTACCAAGGCTTAAAGCGGTAATAAACTCAACAATAAACATTTAATGTGTTGCTGCTTACCAGTTCTTAGATATGGTGACTTTAGTTTTTTTAGGCTTTTTTTCATTTATTTTCTCCTGGTGTTCCTTCCAGTAACACACTTCTTGTTTAAAGATGTCTCCACTCTGGATGGAGGAGCAATGGAGGTACCCTGGGACAGAATCATCGTCAGTCTGGGGAGAGGGTAGTGTTAGATGTACTAGCAGATATAGATGGACTTGAATAACAAATTAAAACCAAACTCCCAACACTTTTAGCCTGGGTTCACACTTGTGTGGTGCGGTATATTGTATGTGATTCGTACAGGAACCGCACAGCCTTCCTGTGCTAATCACATTCGATTTGTGTTTGGTGCGATTGGAGCCATACATTTGGTATGGCTCCAATCGCACTGCATCCTCCTAAAAAAGGTGCAGGACCCTTTTTTGGTCTGCAGTAGAATCGGATCACATGGGTATTCACATCTATCCAATCTGATTCTGCGCGTGCCTGATGAAGGGGTCCCGCAAGACTCCGAAACCTTGCCTTGCTGTAACTATGTGATCGTTCATTAAAATTTTTGGACCTATATTGGTGATCCTCGGTGTGCTGGTGACATTCTTCCTTGCTGATTCTGCACATTGCACTGCACTTTGCGGACCGATTTCGGGGTGCTGTTAACTTACCATACACACCCTCAGCAGTTCGCATGAACGGGGTGCAATTGTGATGTGGTGCGGAATTCGTACAGAAACCGCTGCAAATTCCGCACCGCATCAGTGTGAACACAGGCTTAAGCAATTACAGCGACAATTTAGTTGTTTTTGGACTAAAGGTAGTACATTCATGAATAACTGCTGACAATTGTAAATACCCCTGGCAGTGATAAATGGTTTGTCTCCGCCCTCTAACTGCTACTTGCTGGACAGCATGAGCTGTTAAAGGAAACTAACTTAATTATAACAGACTTACTGGCAGAATCACCAGGTAAAAATGAAAGGAAAAAGTCTAAAAAGAAAAAGAATGCAGCCATCACATCTAAGAATAAGCTGCAATATATTACTTTTTGTGGGGGGGAGGGTACATGTGAGGTTTAATAATGCTTTAACTTTGAAAGTACATATTTCTTTAGTCATAAGCGACTTAAGTGTGCTTTAGAAAATGTTTGGTTTTATTTTTTTCCTCTCCCAGTCTGATCTCTGCTGTATATGAGACTGCAAGAGAATAATTCCAGAAAAGACGTAGGTACTTACACTGCTTGCATTAAAAATATACTTATTAACCGCTACAGGGCGGCAGGGCTGTATATCTACGTGATTTGCATTTCCGGGTAGGGGCTAGTCAATCACCAGGTCCCGGCCGGTGATTCCCCCTGGCACCCGGCGATCACCGAGTAACACTGACAGGGGAGAGACCAAACATACAAATAAACAACACAGGACTCTCTCCTGCCAGCAAGGACATGCTGCTGTGTATTTCTCTGCACAGCATGTTTCCCTAGTAAAACACACACACAGCACATTACGTAAAACATAGCACACAGTTAACCCTTTGATCACTCCAGATGTTAACACCTTCCTGCCCAATGTCATTAGTACAGTGTCAGTGCTTTTTGTTTATTTCAGGTTTTTATATAGCGCCGTCAATTTGCTCAGTGCTTTACATGTATATTGTACATTCACATCAGTCCCTAACCCTCAAGGGCTGTACAATCTAAGGTCCCTAACTCACATTCATACATACACATACTAGGGCCATAACTATGGCCCTTGGGGTCTGGTATGGATTTTGGGGGGAACCCCACACCAAAATTAAGAAAAAAAATGGTGTGGCCCCCACCCCCCAAAACCATACTAGACCATTATCCAAACATGCAACCCGGTAGGCAGGAAAGAGGAGGAAACAAGTGTTCCACCCCTCCTGAAGCATACCACCCCACATGCCCTCAACATAGGGAGGTGCTTTGGGGGAGGGGGGCTTTCCCTTAAAGCACCTTGTCCTTATGTTGATGAGGACAAGGTCCCGTTCCCCACAACCCTAGCCATGTGGTTGCTGGGGTGTGGGGGGTGACTTATCAGAATTTGAAAGCCCCCTATAACAAGGGATCCACAGATCCTGAAACCCCCCCCCCCATGTGAATGAGTATAGGGTACATATCACCTCAACTCATTCACCCAAAAAATGTCAGAAGTAAATAAAAACATTAACACAGTTTTTTACCTTTATTAAAATATTAAAATACATAAACATACCCTCTGATGTTAATCCAGCAGCAATCACGATGAACGCTGACCCATAAAAAAGAAAAATCCTTCAATCTGCTGAACCCGGCCGGTCCCATAAAGAGATACTCATTGAATGATTCCCTCTGAGGAAGTGTAAGGACATGAAACGCGTTAGGAGGTGCCCCTAACTACTGTGCATAGACCGCAGGGCCACTTTGATAGATGGCTGGTGGCCATATTGGATTTGGACGTAAGTTCACTCTTTTAACCTGCTTATGCTGATTTTTTGGAAATAAAGACCTACTACACTATTGGAGGCTGTCTCTGGGCTCTTCATTCCCTTGAGAGCCTGTTTTTTGAAGGTTTATCTGTGGCTTGGATTGGTGCATGACCCTTCCCCTGGTGGCTGTGACTGGCATATCCGGAGACTGGAGGGTATACCTGGATGGAGGACACCTAGTGGCCTATACGCTGATGACACCTATCCTTGTGGTATTACACATCGAGAGTACCAGGAGTAGGTCTTATATGCTCCATGCGCTTTAATTGCGCTATCTGGTTAGTGCAATGTTTGTCTATCTTCACAATCTCTAAAGTCAGTTTTCCTCCAGTACAGATTTACCAAATACTTGCACGAAACACTTTATTTATCGCACCATATAATAGACTCAGTTTATTTTATATGATCCAGAGTGTTTTATTAGTCCAGTTTTTCTACTTATGTTCATTTATTAGCGCTGCATATTTATGTATTTCATGAGTTTCCCCTGTTGCTAAGCAAAAATGGGGGCAGGGTCACCTGATGGCCACACCCCCTATGTTATCATGGCAGGGGGTCTCCGAGTGATATTTTCTTAGAAACGGGAGAAGTGGCCAGCAGTCTGCTCCTTAACAATCAGCTATTCATGAACCAATTTGGATCATTCGTTATTTCGGATGCTTCAAACATTCAAATTAAGCAAATGAATTTAATTTTTTCTTCATAATTTATTTTGGATTGGATTCGATTGGATTGGATTCCCAATCTCAGAATAACAAAAATGTCATCTGTATTTCGATTAGTAATGAAACAAATTGCACATGTCTAGTTTCTTTGAATGAAGGAGGAGAATAGAAAGGATGGGCATAGTCAGTACACTTAATGAGTGCCTGTGACAGGTCCCTCAGCTTTATTAGCCCCCATAGCACCAGAAGGTTACCACTGCATAGTATAGGAGAGGGACAGAGAGTTTCAACTATGACAGCCAGCACCAGCACAAGGGATACCTTAAAAACAACAAAACATTTTGCATCAACTTAGGTTTTAAGTTTCTATGATGTTGTAAAGAAAGGAGTAAGCTTAGTGGTCACTTCCGGGGACATTAACCACTTGCTGATCACATATAGCCGAATGACGGCTTCACCACGGTCGGTCAGTTCTGGGAGGGCGTCATATGACGTCCTCCCAGAACACGCCCTCCTGTGCGCCCCCTGGCGATCTCCATGATCGCTGTGTCCTACGGACACAGCTGGTCACATAATGTGGTAAAAGGCCAATCACAGTGGCCTATTACCACGTGATCAACCGTGTCCAATGACACAGCAGATCAACGTTAAATACAGTTGCTGGTTATCGGCTGCACTTTCCTCACGCTGTGACAGTGTGAGGAAATTACTGCCGATAACCGACAACTGCCAGAGGATGGATCAGCACCGATCATCAGGGCACTGATGATCAGTGCCCCCACCAGTGCCGACTACCTGTGCCCATCAGTGCTGCCCAGCAGTGTCCATCACAGGGGCGGACTGACAACTCATGGGGCCCCCGTGCAATAGGGGATCACGGGGCCCCTGTGTCCTTGCCCAAACTCTCAAAAAAACCTATGAAAAAGGTAACAGGGGCATCTCATGGGGCCCCCTACTGACCCCGGGCCCTCGGGCAGTGCGAGAGTTTCCAAATGGTCAGTCCGCCCCTGGTCCATCATTATTGCATATCAGTGCCCCCTATTAGTGCCTCCTATCAGTGCCGCCGATCAGTGCCACCTCATCAATGCACATCAGTGAAGGAGAAATATTACCTGTTTGCAAATTTTTATAACAGAAACAAAGAAAAAAAAAAAAAAAACTTTTTTTCAAAATACCACAAGAAAGCTCTATTTGTGTGAAAAAAATTATACAAATGTCATATGGGTACGGTGTTGCATGACCGTTCAATTGTCATTCAAAGTGCAACAGTGCTGAATATTGGCCTGGGCACGAAGGGGGCATAAGTGCCCGGTAGGCAAGTTGTTAAAGCTCATAGTTCATGTGTCTTTGGGAACCACCGTTCTGAGTGTAATTTTGGCTGGCTACCAATGCATCATATATAAAGCAAAACCATATTGTTGCATACATTTTTTGGAAAAGCACATGACACCAATGCTAAAGTAGGAGTAGCCCAATTTACAGGTATCAATAAGAGTGCAATTACACTTTTCTGAATACACAAATAAAACCTTTAAGGTTATGGTGAGAAGAGACAAAAAGAATAAAAAGCCCTCAACTGAAACAATGCATACCACAGTAGAGCCTCAGTTAGGTTAGACTTTAGCTCCTCTTTTGGGTTTATCCTGCTCTATGTGTCCCAGGTGGGACGATCTCTGTCACTTCCTACCCAGGGGACACCCAGAATTTTGTTGAGCTGACCTTTCTGTGTCTACTTTTTGAAGTACTTTCATATATTCCCTTGGAGAATCTGCAATACCTCGTTACAGTATAGCTTGCTTCCTAAGGGTTAACTGCTACCATAGGTTTGAGGTGAATCATGAGATCTGCAAAGCTCATGGATCAGACTTTGCATGTTTGCCACCAGACAATGATTAGTCTTACCAATGGCCATAATTCAATAACAAAATTATTATAATAAGCCTTGCAATAGAAGGATTCTTATAGCAGTAAACAATAATGGATGGCGCCATAATAGGAAAGATGGTGGATGGTCATGCCCATATCTAAATGGTTATCAATAACAAAATTCACCCTGTTATACCACAAAGGGGTTCAAGGGTGAGCAAGATTTCCAAAATGGTTCACAAACTTAACCCAGGCAACTTCTCTCATCCTTAATAAAAACCAAAGGTGGAAAGTAGTAGGTTCAGCCAACAGCAATGCTTGGGTGTCACTGAATAAAAAGGGGTAAATTACCTATCAGGGTACACAGTATTAGAAACCAAATAGAGGACCCCGTATTCACCCAAAACTAAAAGAAAATGAATATCATTTGATACATAAGTTTTATTTATGCAAACCCTTATATATAAATGTAAATGTTAATTCCCCAAGGAAGAGACCAACAACATATTTAAAAATATATTTCAACAAGTAGTAAACAATACAGGAATTTATCAATACATGAAGTAAATAAACAAATGATCATATAGCTTCAGAGCAAAGTAGAAAATTAAAATGATCTGCATGTGATACTTCCATTTATTATACAATCTCTACTTATAATTGCAAATTTAATATGGGAGCAGCGGATGGCGCTGCCAATTTTTCATGTGGTCATGTCCCTGTGCATAACTAGAGAATATCATAAAAAGGAAATGCTGACTTAAGCACTGAAATTATACATACACTGATTTTCGCTCTAGAACACTGGATCACTACAAGCGTGTGTCTGTCACTGTACAGTGTAATGTGTAAAACTCTAAAATTCTAAATGTCTGAAATATTCACATGAACCTGCTTATTTCCAGATGTTTGTGCTTGTAATAAAAAACACCATTGATCATTTTCATAATTCTTGACAAAATATAAAAACTCACAAAGTCATTCAGAAAAAAAGTTTTTGCTCCTATTGATCGTTTCTTCGAAGTTCAACTACCGCAAATATACATTGCCCCATTTTATTAAATAACCTCTTACGGAATTAAAAACATCCGCATCAGTTTTTAAAATGTATATGATTTTTTTAAACTTTTAATATGTGCATACAAAAAATAAATGGCCCATTAATGGATAGAAGTTATTTATATAATATATATTTTAAACATATATTTTATGCAAATAAGTTAAGACATGAAATAAAGGCAATAAAATAACAATATGAGAAAATAGCAAATAAATTATATTTGGAACAACATAAAACAATAAAATCTTTCTGAAAATATTCAAATTTATTTTTGACCTTTTGCGGAGGCTTGCGATTCTTGGCATGAAAAGCTCAGGAAATGCAGGTCTCCTTCTGAAGGAGATGTCTATTGATTAACGCACAATGTTTTTATAGTTAAATTTGTAATAGGACATGTGAATATTTTAAGGCTCAAAAACATGTAATCATGACGAACTGGTGGTTTTGATGGCCACCAAGTATGTACAATGTAAAGTCATTACACAGTGGAAGCCAGCTGGGTATTGATAAGTTATCAAAATTCATCAGAAGACCAAATATTGCTTTAGTAAAAAGTGGTTGATTCCTTGTTTTCAAAACTTTGCAGTAGACTTTACTGGTAGAAGACATTACCACAGAGCAACCATCCACTTGTTCAAAGTTCCAATGTCTTTTGCCTTACTTGCTCTGTTATCTAGACATCTCAGATGCCAAATTTCCATATTCCAAGGTGGTGCAAGTGAATACTGAACATCCAATGACTTCTAGATACTTCACAAACTTTACTCCACAAGACTGACCCCCTAACGTACACAATTTTTGGTTCAACATTACAATGTAGTTGATTTGTTTTGTTATTGATGACTGGTGCTAATCTGTCTCTAGAACAAGTTGGCCACTTTTAGTCTTTTACTAACAATGACCCTAAAATATTACAGATTCATCAAGTTCAGAATGCAAAAAAAGGGTTGGTTTATTGTCAAGTTTCTCTGTCACTTTCTCCAACTGAGTAAAGTTCTCCCAGTCTTTTAAAGCGAGGACCCCAATCACTGAGGTAGTCAAAATTTTGATCAGAGTCCGAGGTTGAGGATTCTAAGGAGCTCAGGGAACCAGCCACTGATCCTCGTCCTTCATAACCATAAATCTGGATTGAGTCATATGGTGGAGCAGTAGGATCATTGTCAGCTTCATGAAGCCTTACATTAATAAATTCATCAACGTCAACGCCATTGGGAGTAGAGGTATGACCTTGTCTGGGCATGAACTGAAAATCAGGCTTAATGTCCTTGCGTGGTAAATATCCATTTATACCATCTGGATTTTGCAAGGTGGCAATATCAAAGGCCTCTGTGTCTTCTTCTCCCCCACCTTCATCATCATAGCGGATGATATTTTCACGAACATCTTCATCATCCTTAATTATGAGAGGCTCGTTTTTGTGTCTTCGGAGGGTAACAAAGAGCACAACAATAACTGGAAAAGAACAATATATAAAATAAATGAATATGGCTACTGAAATATCATACTATGCTTTTTAAAAGCTGAAAATTAATTACCATAATTACATTTAAAACACACATTTCTATAGCCAGTCACAGTGGTGTAGTATTTTTCTTAACCCTCTCTCATAACTATTCAAAACAAAAAAATAAAGTTTTTTTTAGGTGGCTTTAGATTCACATTAATTCCCTCTCTCTCTGTTTGTATATTTATTTCTATTCAGATATTCGCAGAATCCATTGTCTATTGGCCAACCTTCATTCTCATACAAGGACTTTCCAGCAAGTTGTAGTAGTAGTAGTGATCTTAGCAGTTCTCCTAAATCTCTCTTGAGAGGCTACAAGTCTATACAGATCTTCTGCCTCTTGGAAGATTGACAGTAGAGACATCAGACATCACCATGGTTAACAGCAGCTACTTCGCTTCATGAAAAATACATTTATGGAGAAATCTAGCTGTTTCTGTCTCTCTGGCTTCACAGTTCAAAATATGGATACATTTCCAGCCTAGCACTTAATCTAATAAAACTCTATTCTGTTCATGCTCTGAAAAAAAGCAGAAATCCATAATTATAGTTGAACCTATTTTGGACTCCAAAACATGAACAATTAGAAGTTAAGTAAATCTACCTGTTAATTCAATCTGCCCTATTTGGCTGTTGTTAAAGTCAGTATTTGACATTAATACTACTTTTTATTGGATTGTGTAGTTAATATTTTATACATTAAAGTCATCATGTTAGCAGTCTCATAATTCAAATAAAGCAGGTCCCTTTAAGAGTGAAAATACTTACCTCTCTTCTGAGGTCTGTACCATCAAACACCACTATGTTCCAGCAAACCAAATCCCAACATTTTCTTGAAAACTGACTCTTCTGGAAGAATCAGCCTCTAGGTTACCTAGAGACATGGAGGTCAATGGGAGGGATCATTGAGCACTGCAGGGAATATACGAGATTGGCACTCTGGGAAAAGTCGGTTTTCTTGAAGACTTCAGGGGAATGACTCTTCTTCAATGGAGTTGTGCTCAGCAGTGCATTAGAGATAAGTAGTTAAAGTGGTTGTAAAGGCTCAAGATATTTTTAACCTTCATGCATTCTATGCATGAAGGTAAAAAACTTTCTGTGTGCAGCAACCCCCGCAGCCCCACCTAATACTTACCTGAGTCCCATGTCAATCCAGAGATGTGCATGAGAGCAGAAACTCTCTTGGCTCTCTGCCTCTTATTGGCTGAAACGGCAGCAGGAGCCATTGTCTCTCACTACTGTCAATCACAGCCAGTAAGTCAATGAGTAGAGAGAGAGGGTACTAGCCACATTCTATGTCTGAATGGACAGAAAGAGCAGTGGCTCAGACATGAGCCTGCTCTGGTGCCCCCATAGCAAGCTGATTGCTATGGGAATATTCAACAGGAGGGAGGGACC